AGAGAGAGAGAGAGAGAGAAGGAAAAAGATTATATATCTCTCGTCTCTCACGTCCGTCCGTTCGTACAGTCGTTTTCAGGGTATGGATGTGGCCTCGCGGATATATCGGCACCGTGGAAGCCATTTTCAATTCAATCTGTTAAAAGCACGTCAAAAAGTCATACGGTATTTCACCGGCGCGGTAGATCGCGGCGAGACCGCAGGCTTCATCCGGCGACGGTGTCGCGGTGAATGCCACCCATGCCCTATGGATCTGTCGAAATATATGCCTCTGCATATATGCCGGCCTCCATTCGACACCGTTCTCTCTCTACATATTTCTCTATCTTTAATACGAATGCCAGCCGGTTCTATGAATAGCCTAGATCCTATGTTCTTGCTGAATTTTCGTTTCTTTAGGTTCTTGGCTTTTGTTTTTCCTCCTTTTTTTTTTATTTTTTTTTTTATCTTCTCTGATAAATTTCTGTAAGCTGTACCTACGTTCTGCTGACGATATTGGTTTTTATTGTATCTGTCTATCGGTGGATTGGATTATCAACGTAACCAGAAATGATACACGAGAGACTGCGATTGTCAAAGACAACCTAACTATATCTAGGTACGTATGTGAATTAAAAAGCAGTGAAGACAATTACTAGTCAGTTACAAAAATTTATTTGATAGGTACGATTGAGATAGAATTTCGAAAATTTTTGACAATTCGAACCTTCTCTATATTTACAGATAAACATAGTGTTGCAATTGAAGTAGGTAACATGATTTGTTTTTGTTCCCTCAGTGACCGATCACAAAGCATTTACCCACGCAAGTATCGGAAATTATGATCAACCTGGTTCTTTGTACCTGCTCTTCTCTCCTTGTCTGATGTGGCGATCTTTATGGCCTAATCTCTTTCATCCGATCAGAACCGATTTGATCGGCTATTTTCTTGGTGTCGTTGATCTGTGTAATGTTGGTAAACATGGTAACTTGATACAAACGCGATTTTGATCTTAATCCCCTGTTTTCCTAGTGCAAACAGCCGAGAAGGTAGGTACCTGTTACTATCGATAAATCGGCAACATCTGGAAACATTCTAAGATCATGGGACAAGAATCGTGGGAGATTTCTCGAGGAATTATTTTCAATCAGGTATACCTATCTGAAAATGTATTTTAGGTAGATAATTATTGCTGCGCTATTTGATATTTTTTCATTCTTCGTTGATCTAGCTTATCATTTTTTTAATTTATATCGTTTTCATGTTTCAGTTCAGCTTTCATGGTTCAATTAACATTAAAATAAAAAGCGAATAATATGATGAATAGGTAATGTATTGCCTACTTGAAATTTTGGTAGGTATTGCCCCTGTAGATAAAAATATTTAAAAAATGTCGATGAAGTTCATTGAAAAATTAAAGAAGACTTTTCAACGCAGTAAAGTTAACTTATTACTTAGTTATTATTAGTTAATTTAGTATTATTAATGTTATTAGTATATAGTTACTAACATTAATTTAATTGTTAAATATTTATTAATTACTTATCGTAATCATAAGGTATCATTGAACATCAAATAGCCATATATTTAATATCCGTGAAAATTAATTAGAATGTTTTTATTAGGGTGCAATTTGTAATAATCTAGGGAAGCAGAAAATCGAATATATTCGGTTTATAACTGCAGGGATCGCGTAAACGGGAGCGCACGCGGAGGGATTGGCTGATACTTTAAAAGCAGGTGTGCATTACCATAGCTATTGGTTTATTGATTTATCCATCGGCGCGTACGTACGCTTTGAGTGGCTGATATGCCAGAGTAAAAAATGGTCCGTGTCGGTGTAGATCGACGATATCGACGAATACCGTTTCGCGTTACGGGCTTTTAATGTTGCTCAAACCGTCATTGCGTTCTCACTAATGACGCACGAGCGTGAATTAATCGGTTCGTAACCGCGCTGAAACGTGCCATCCACTGAAGAGCGCACGGTCAAACGCATTATTTTCATTTTATCAATTTTCTGTACTGCCAACTATCCCATGCAGTGAGAGACAAAAGTACCTGTTCGTACAATTGGTTTACTGTAGAAAGAACTTGTAGTACCTATCTTGTAATGATAAATTATAAATTATAAAACAAAGTAATAATTATAAAAATGATACTTTATTATATTTATTAAGTTACAGTATATTATTAAACGTATATCTATGAAATGTGCCTATGAAACTATAATTAAATTAAATAAAAATATAACAATATATAATATGCATGAAGTTAATTGTCAGAAAGAAAAATTCATAAAATATTAAATGTTATCTACTGTTAGCGATATTTACTTTATTTCATTAAATTTTACTACTATAATTTAATTA